TGCGACCCCTGAAGATCAATTGAGTTCTCGAAAGACATGTTGAGCATCTAACGTCTAGGCATAATTATACCTTACCAATCTATGGGACTGTTGTAGTGATCATGCTATATCAACCGCAGACGCCTTCTGCGACGATCAACCTGCCAGGTAAGTTGCTTATCTCTGCTTGACGCAGGTACAGCGTTCCACTGGCTGGGCTGCAATGATGTAATGGATGGGGTTTGCGCGTTGGCTCTGATTGGCCGAAATGGCTTGCGAATCGGCAGCCGTGACGACAGGCACCCCCGCCACACTGGAACACCGAGCTTCAGGCTGGGCTTCTGTTTTGGAGTCTGGCAACCTTGATCGCTAATCGCCAAGGTGTAGCTACTTGGGAATAAAGGGCAGAATGTGTCAAACTCAAGGCCGTCGCTTGCAGGAAGTGCTCTGTGTCTGTCCATGATCCCTTGATTAGCTGGACACGTAACGGAAGTGGCGAACCGCAGTTGCCGAGGCATCTCTCGCTCATGATCTCACAGTTGAAGAAGCTTGCTACATTTCCAGATTCCCTCTGCGCCCAACAGCCGGTTCGTTACAGTTTGGCAATCAGTGCGATTGCAGACCGGCGTAGGCTTGCAGGTTGAAATGCGCTGATTACGCAGTGAGATCAATGGGGGCAAGTGCTCTCGAGACCACCGGATCATTTAATTGGCTGATGTCCGAAAATCGACAACTTCAAAACCCACCGGCAGTCGCAACTCTCTTCCTCCCTTTTTTCACGATCTATCATTGCTTCACAAAAGGTCATACAAGTTTGGTTCGACTTTAGCAACAGCCATCTCTAAGGGTGACTGACTGGTTCGGAGTCGGCCTTTTCAACTCCAGCCTGAAACGTCGATCATCGCAGCAATAATCCACAACCAAGTTAATTTCTGGGATACTCGATTGAACACACCTTTCTTCTACCGATTATGGCGGCTCCCTCGTCGGGCTCCTTTTTCTCCCGCTTAAACCCCGTGCCGGCGTTTCCGGCGTATACAGGGCCGCACAAAGTGGGCACGATTGACGTTGAGATTCCCGTCTCCGAACTTGAATCGCCCAGTCCGGCGCCCGAAGGCACATCGGACGTCTATACCGTTCAATTCCGCATTTTCTATCCAGCAGTCCCGGAGTCCTCTGGCAAGTCCATCCCGTGGCTTCCCTCGCCGCAACGCCTCCATGTCGCCGCCTACGCCCAGTTTCTCGGGGCCGGCACCAAGCTTGCATCGGCTCTGTCGTAAGTGATATTTCCCCTGAGAGCAATACAATAGTTCAAACAGACTAAGCTTTCCCAGTTTCCTGCCTCGGCACCTACACTATGCCTCGATACCAGTTCACAAAAATGCGACTGCGCTTCGCCCTACCCCTGAATCCTCGCCAAGGTGGCCAACCGTCATCTTCTCCCATGGATTGGGCGGCAATCGGAACGCTTACAGTCATCTAGCTGGATCTCTTGCATCGCACGGAGTGGTAGTTGTCTGCCCAGAGCATAGGGATGGCAGCGCTGCTCTGTCACTAATCCGAGACCCCCAGAGTCAAGACCGTTATTCCGTTCGGAACACCCGTCGGGAAGTCGGCTATAGATCGCTCCCTCATGTACCCAATCGAGATACTTGGGAAGCGCGTGATAAGCAGATTCGTATCCGCCTGTGGGAACTTGGCCTCGGCTTTGAGGCCATCTGTGGTATCGACAGCGGAAACAAGCGCCTACTCCAGTCAAATATGAATAAAAGCACTCCAGAAACCGCCCTGTCGCAACTTGCCGGCCTCCTTGACGTTAGAGAACCGGGACGAACCATCTTTGCCGGCCATTCATTCGGTGCCGCAAGCATTGTGCAATTGCTCAAGAGCACATACTATGCCGACCACCCTAAAATACGAGCCATGGCGAGCCCCTATTTTGCCCCGACCAGGGAATCCAATATTCGCAAACAGATTACGGAACGAAACCCCACGATGCTTCTAGACATGTGGTGTTTGCCCCTGATCTCGAAAACAGCCGACCCGCTCTTCAACCTACCGCTGCCGATCTACGCCGACACGCCCTCAGCCCCTGGCGGTAAGGCTCTCTTGGCCGTTGAGTCAGACCAGTTCTTCAAGTGGAAGGAAAACCTTGAGTTGAAGGCTCGGATCTATTCACCCAAGCCATCAGCGCGAGTTGTCTCGTCTGACATGTTCAAGCGGCCCTCGGGTGACCGCTTTCCAGAGCCCAACTTCTTTTATGTCAAGAACAGCGCGCATTTGAACCAAAGCGACTTTGGTATCCTTTTCCCATGGCTGACGAAACGTGTGTTTGGAGCGGAGCAACCGGAGCGCTGCTTGCGTCTTAATATGCGCGCGCAGCTTCAGTTCTTTCGCAACAACGGGTATGCTGTGAGCCCTACGTCGTCAGGGGATCTCGTGGATGATGGAGCGGAAGTTAAGGAGACGGTCGACAACGACACGGCGATTCTTGATCCTAAAGGGATTGTGGACTCATGGGGTTGCGTAAGAGTTGTTGGCTTGGGAGCTAAAGCCGGGCCGACCGAGGTTGAGAGACTGGCGGACACGCGCGATGAGAGTGAGGAAAGACGGGCCGATGAAGGCGAAAGAGAGATGGCAGGTGAGATGGAGCCTTCGCGTGGGACGCCAGGGGCAGAGAAGGTGCTTGAGACTGTTGAGAGTGCCGTTGAGAATGGAACCAAGGCATAGGCACAAGGTGGCACTGAAAGGCAAGACCCGTGGGACTAAAGGGCGTGGGAGCATGGCGGAGCATGGCGGAGCATGATAAAGGGAGGATGGACTTGTTTAGATTTGGATAGAATTTGAATACAACCACAACACATATCATACATCACGACACAACAGACAAAAGAAAGCTACCTAGGTAATAATACAAAACACTCTCTCACTTATAAACAGGCAAACCCTGGTCATCCCACTCGCTCTGCGCCACCTCGGGCACAACGTCCTTCAACCACCCCTTGACCCTCTTCTTAGTATCAATCCTCAACTCCTTTTCATTCTTGACTCTATTATGCAGCTTCTTTGCATTCTCCTTGACATTCCCAACCCCATTCCCTGCTGCTGCTGCTGCTGCTGCTGCCCCGGTAGGTACCGTTTTTACTCTAGTGGGTTTTGGCAACGTTAGAGAAATAATCGTCGTCGCTGCGGCGCGGGATTTTCCCCCTGCTACAGGCGGTTTAAGCGTTTTCCCTGCCCCTCCCGTTCCAACCGTAAGAGTGTTTCCACCCGCAGGTAAGGAAGGTTTCCCTTTGGGATTTGCCTTTTGGGAAGTATGCCCCTTTGACCCCTTCCCCTTGCGGGGTGTGCTGCTATCCACTTCGTGCCTGGAAAGAGTCGATATGCGTTCTGACGAGGAGAGGATGCTGAGCGAGGAACCCTTGCCTTTTCCGGTGGACACGAAGGAGGGGAAGGTTGTTCCTGAGGAGCGAGGCTGGGGGATGTTGAGGTGGGGATTGTTTAGACTGGGGGTGCTGCTGTCGCTGTCGCTGGTGGTGATGGTGGATGTGGCCTCGTCGGGAGGGTTCAAGTTGTCGCGGGGTGGAGGGGGGAAGATGGATGGGGGGCGGGTTTGAGCGGGGGAGGGGTTGAGGGGGATGCCGAAGAAGAAGGAGGCGAGGCTGCGGTTGCTTCCAGGGGTGGGTTTTGTTGGTTTGGGTTGGATGGTAGAGGCGGGTTTTGTGGGCGAGTATTCGTAGGTCCAGCTGTCGTCGGGGAGCTTGCGGGCGCGCCAGAAGCGGCTTTGGTCGCGGGTTTCGTACCATTCTGACCAGGGGCCGGGGGGTTTCTTGGAGTCGGGTTCCGATTCGGGGTTTCGTGGTTCTGAAGGGGGGGTGGTGACGATGGCGGGTGCCATGTATAAGTCGGGCGATTCCTCGACGATGGAGGCCATCTTGGCCCGGCGGGGACGCTTGGAGACGCCGAACATGGAGGGCGGTTTGCGGACTGAAGGAGGTTTGTGTGTTATTGATCGGGTTTTGGAAGACGATCTCGACTTTGGTCCCGTCCTGTGTCTGGGGTTCCGTGTCGCTGAGGATCCGCTTCCAGGGACACCGGTAAACCAGAAGAAGTCTCGACCAGTGTACTCGGTCGTGTAGAAATCGCGGGTCTTGGGGGGCATGTTGAAGCGTACTGAATGTTCTGATCTTTTTGTCTTGTACAAAGGTGCAAGCAAGGAGTGTTTACCTCAAACAGTGAAGTAAAGGGGGTCTCAGCAGTACATGTATGGCAGAAGAAGCAAAGAAGCCGCCCAAGAAGGGATCCGGTGATATCCGATTTTACAATCAAGGATACCTTACCTAGATAAAGATAACATGGAACAGAAAGTTGCACATTCTACAGTGGCTCTGCCGATCTATATGTAAAAGTTGGAAGGCAAAAATCCTCAGCCAAACTAGCAGCCTCATGGGCGACAAGATAGGCCACTGGGGCGGCATCAACTCCAATCACGCCCTGTAGAAGCATCTTCTGATCACTATCCAGATCCCAATCAGGTTCCTTCCGGATGCAGCGTGCAGCACTTCAGAATTGCACATCCCAAGACGTCCTATCACGGGGAATGCAGCGTGCAGCCGTTCATAGGAGCCTTGCCGCAGTCTTGCTGCCCAACGAGGAGCGAACACAAGACAGCACCGACCGCGACAAAATCAATAAAAACCACAAGATGGCTTTCCAACATGCGGAAAACATGCGCTTCCACTCGGCGCACATGATCAGAGCCGACGAAGGAGACGTGGAACGGCCACTGCTGCGCCCCTGGCCGACCTTCCGGAAGGCAACCGGGGTCTCGTCGGTGCGGCTCCGTGGGACGTCGGCGACAGGTGCAAGCGGCCGGCTGACGAGAGCCGACAGAGGCAAAAAGTGACTCAAAGGAAGTGAGTCAACGAAAGAGAATCGAGGTCAATCTCGTCCCCGTTTGTCGTCTGGCGAAAACAGAGCCTCCAAGCAAACACAAACAGAACAGAAGCAAAAATGAAGCGTGGATAATACCGGATTCGAACCGGTGGCCTTTCCCAGGCGCTGCAGAATGCGAAGGGAAAATCATACCCCTAGACCAATTACCCAACCAACAACCAGGAAAAACGGCTGCGTTGAAAATTTGCCGTCGCCAGGTGGATGTTGAGGACGACTCCCCATTCTGAGCCCCACCAACCCCAACCCAAAGGAGCGCCAAGAAAACCAAACGCCAAGCCCCGCACTCGGAAAAACCCCGGCATTCTATCCATCGCGAATCTGCTGCTACCCTTTGCGCGCGCCCTCCCATCAATCACCCCAAAACCGCATCACCACATCTCCCACATTATACACCACGCCCACACCAAACCACCTATAACCCCCTCCCCCACAACATCCGCCAACATGACATCCACAATTGGCATTCCCATCAAGCTTCTTAACGAAGCTCAAGGCCACATCGTCACGCTCGAAATCACCTCTGGCCAAACCTACCGCGGCAAGCTCATCGAAGCCGAAGACAACATGAACGTGCAGCTGAAGGACATCACCGTGACGGCGCGCGATGGGCGTGTGAGTCATCTGGAGCAGGTGTACATCCGGGGGAGCCACGTACGGTTTTTTATTGTTCCTGATATGTTGAGGTAGGCTGGCAATACTCGCAAAGAATGGAGGTGGGGTGCTAATGAGTTGTTGTAGGAACGCGCCCATGTTCAGGAGCCGGAACGTCAGAGGACGAGGTGTCGGGTTGGCGAGAGGCAGGGCGACGGTTAGTAGGGCAAGGGCGGGCGGAAGGGGAGGAAGGCCTTAGAAGAGGCTGCGCTGAAATTGGTGATCAATTCATGGATGGACGATAAATCTTGGTTTGGTCTGGCGTTTGGTTCGGGGAACACGTCCGACTTTGGGGCGGACGATACAACAAAAAAGAGAAAGCGAGTTGTCGGGTGTTGAAGGCTTGATACCATATTCCCAGCGGGCCGCTACGTCGACGAGGAGAGACGGATGGCAGCGGAAGGGAAAAAAGGATTGCACCCTGGTTTTTGCACAGGGTACGTATCTAATGTTTTGTGTGGTATCTAGAGGTCTACAGGTGCTGACATGAGCGAGCCCTTGGCTTTCTTACAAGAGCCCCAGTGCTTTGTTGTTGGGTCGGACGCGATTCGCCCTTCAAACATAGCTATCGTACAATGCCATACAAGGCGCAAGCCTGAAATTACGGTAGCCGTGACAGCGCGTCTTCTGCCCTCTGTATGATCTCTCTGGCTTTCCTCAACTCCTCCAAAGCCTCGGCCTCGCCTCCGTGGGACTTGGATGCCCGGTCAAGTACCTCGGCGATGCTTGCTTCGGTGGCACGAATGGCCTTGCGGCCCTCCTCACGCACCTCTTCCTCCCAAAAGTTTCTAGCCGCCTCCCATTTCAGCTGGAGACGTCTCAGACTCCACACCAAACCTAGTGCTGCAACGGCGCCAGATTCGTAGGCTCCAAATGCAGAGAGGTAGGCCAGACCAGCCAGTGCGGTCGTCAAGGCCGCACCGCCCGTTGATTGTAACACTAGCTTTTGTGCCAACGCTTGGAGTGCTGGAACCGTCTTCTCTTGGAGATAGTTCCGTGTGAATGAGATATGAGTTGGCCACTTGATCTCCAACTGCGTAGCCACGGCCGTGCTGGTTGTTGCTGGCGGCGGGCTGGAATACAGTGGCTGAACTGGGTGTCCCGCCGCAACTCCCGCCTCCTGAACGCGGCCAGCCAGGTAGATGATGCTCTTCTCGGCATCAGGAAGGAAGCGGAGAGCGAGCATCTCGGATGAGAGCATGCCAACGTCGTCCGCTCGCCAAAACAGCTTCCACCAACCCAGTTTCCGCCAAGATCGACCGGCGAAGGCCACCTCGAGTCGCTCCTGCAGCTCTTCGTGGGCGTTTTGTGCCCATTCTGACAACCCTTGGTTGAGACGCGCAACGGCATCTGGAGGGATATCACCTGCCACAGCTTTGAATAAGTCGCGAGCTTCGTCTGCTTGGATTTTGGCCCTCGCGTTCTGCAGCAGGCTCTGTATCAGGTTGCGGACTGGGGCCTTTGTAGCTTCGCTGTCGTTCGGCAAGACGTTCTCCTTAAGCCAGTCGCCGATACGTCCCATGTTTGACTCCGACCAAAGGGCTTGGTATCTCATCGCGTTGCCGACGTCTTCACGGAAGAGCTCTAACCCTTCTTCGCCGGCCTCAAGGCTGACCTTCACGATTGGACAGCCTGACAGATCCCCCTCATCAATCTTCCTGAAGTTCACGGCCACGGCAATAGTATCGGTCCCTTCTAGGATAGGTATTGACAAGACCGACGCAGCGCCAAGAACCCCATCCCCAACCAGAAGCGCCATGTGAACCGGTGTTGCAATGGGAGTAGGCGTGCCCTTTGGCGGCACAGATATCTCGACCGTCGGCGCAAGAATAGCATCGTCCACCGCCAACGCATCGCCCGTGTTTTCGGCAGCAGCAAGCTCTGCCGCCTCCATGAGAAGCATCTCCAAATTTCCCGCATTCAGGGGCGGAGACGAGACCATAATCTCCGGAATCGAGTGACCCTTTGCCACGGATAATTTCTCCTCAATTTGTTCATCCTTCCCATCAATGGCGCCGACCCGCACTATGAGCGGCTGCGACAGATCGTGGTCCTCCAGCTGTGTCTCCCAGTCCGCCGGGGGATTCAATGGATCAGCCAGCGCCAGTTTCAGGAGTTTCTTTGCTGTAGGTCCGGAATTGGTGCCATTCTTCAACCCTAATAACGCGACTCGTATCGATTCGTGACCTGGTGGTTGCGATAGGTTTCGTAGCGCAAGCTGGACACGCGCGAGGTTGACATGGTTCGGTGCCTGTGATTGCAGGTCCAGCAGCGCGTCTTGGAGATCTCGGCGGGGGTCTGATGTCGTCGTAGTCGTTGTTGTCGAGGCCGCATCGGTCGATTCCCTCCGCAAGCTACCAATATTAAGCGATTTCCTCCACGCCACCAGCGATGACGGCCCCGCGCGTTTGGTGAGAGAGCAGAACATACAAACGGATGATCTGCTCTGACGGAGCGCGCCGCTGCGGCCGAGAGCCTGCCTCAGTCCCAGTATTGGCGTCATGGCTGGAAGCGACCGTGGTGCAGGAACCGGTGTCCCCGTCGTGAACTGTCGTCACAGAGGTCCCATCAGAGTTGCGAAGCTTGGATGTCCCAAGAATAACCTTTCTGCCGGGAAGCAGCTCCCGGCAATTTCTCGGGTCGCTCACCCCACCCAGCGCCCCCAGCGCCAAGCTACGCCCCTGCAAGCCGGTCCTGCGCGACCCCTCCATCCGGTGTCCAGCTCATGCTCCAGAACGACAAAGAACACTCCTCGCCGCCGACGTCGAAAGCTGTCATCAACTACTCACCTTCCGCTTGAACTCAATAAACTTCAACAACACCCAATCCAAACAACCACCCCTCCAACCTCGCCCTCCCTCGACCAACCCACCCCCACCCAACCCCACCATCCTCAACCAGGCCCCAAGGGCTCACCGAAAATGGCCCAATCAACCGCCCACCGGCGCCTCCTCCAAGAATACCGCGCCCTCACCAACAACCCCCCCGAAGGCATCACCGCCGGCCCCATAACCGAAGACGACCTCCTCCACTGGGAAGCCGTCATTCAAGGCCCTGAAGGAACCCCCTTCGAAGGCGGCGTCTTCCCCGCCGAGCTCAAGTTCCCGCGCGACTACCCGCTCGCGCCGCCGACCATGAAATTCATAGGAGGGGAGGTTTTCCACCCCAACGGTATATTTTGCGCGCTATCATGGTAATTAGGGGCAGGGCTGATTTGTGTGACCAGTGTATCCGAATGGGATGGTGTGCATTTCGATTCTGCATCCGCCTGGAGATGATCCGAACCACTACGAACACGCGTCTGAGCGGTGGTCGCCGATACAGTCGGTCGAGAAGATATTGATCAGTGTGATGAGCATGTTGGCGGAGCCGAACGATGAGAGTCCGGCGAATGTGGAGGCTGCCAAGATGTGGAGGGAGAGGAGGGGGGAGTATGAGCAAAGGGTGAGGGATGGGGTGCGGAGGATGCTGGGGCTATGAGAGTTGAATGCACACTCAAGCAAGGAGAAATAAAGCGGCATGTACATGGATGGATATTGATTGCATGGCAACGGTGTTTACAGGTAGCGATGATTTACGCTCTTTACAGGATGAGCGCCATAGAATCTAGATGTGCTCTAGGAAGGACACTGCTTTTGGCCTAGCTGCCGACCACTCTACCTTTGTTTAGAGTCCGTTTTCTGCCTTGAACTTATCCCATGCTTCGTTCAGTGTGCTGAAGACCGTGCCAGCAATCATTCTCACCTCAGTCGAGGCATCTTGCGGGAGCTACACAGTTGTCAGCATCAGCCCTCTCTCCGAGGTACAAGAGGCGCTTACCTTGTCGGGATGTGTCTTCGCAATGGCCTTCATGTAGATGATCTTGACCTTGTTTGTCATGACCAACTCATGCAGACCGACCTTCTTCCACCCGCTGCCTTCCCACAGGACGTTCTCCATGCTGCCCAGGAGAGCTCGAAGGTTGTCCCTCTTCCCGTCCCTCCACGCGGCAACACGCGCATCTACCTTGTCGATGAGCTCAATCTTCTCATTGCCCTCCTTCTCCGCGGCCTTGTTCGCCTCGCGTAATCTCTGCACCGCCTCGGAGCTCTTCTGGCTCGCTGCTGGTGTAGGACGTCTTGGAGGGGCGGCACGCGCAGGTGGAGGCCGAGCAGCTGGTTTGGGGGCCAGTGCCTTCTGGCAGCGTTGACGGCCGGCGGTTGCCGTGGCACCTCCGTGGCCGGACTCAATTGCGAGTTGCCAGACGGATGCGGCGTCGGACCACTTCTCCATTTGCTCAAGGGCTTCGGCTTTGCGGGTCAAGGCCTTTCCGTACAGCTCGCGCATGTCTCGCTTCTCGTTGTCACCACCGTGGAGCTCCACGTGTTCCCCCTCGCCCTTGGCTGGGCCAATGATCTCCAGGGCTTTGTCGGCATCTTCCACCGCTTGGCGGGGCTCACCGGTTTTGAGCGCCGTCAGAGCGCGGTTGCAAAGCAGTAGGATGGTGAGAGGATGGGTTGGTGGGATGCATGTGAGCGAGGAGGTGTAGCAAGCGTGAGCAGCAGCGTAATCGCCACGCTTAAAGTGCGCAGTGCCATCGACGCGATGTTTGGTAGAGCTTTGTAGGGCAATTGCTGAGACGCTAGGGATTGAACGTTGCGGACGAGGAGTTGGTGCTGGGCGAGGCGCCGGCGATGCCCTGGGTGTTGGTCTCGGCGCGGGGGATGGTTGTGCAGATCGGGAGGGAAGCGAAGTCTGAGGTTGGGGCTTTGAGGGCTTTGAGGGCTCAGAAGAACCGAAGAGCAAGTCGGGCTCTGCTTCCGGTGGTGGTTGCGGTGTTGTCTTCTTCCTCCGCGCAGGACTGACATATGCTTGAGCGCTTTGCTCTTCCACTGCCTGCTTGCTGAGTCTAGACCGGGGATCCAACCCGGAGGAGTGGTTGGCCTGCTGCCACTTTGGAGTCGAGCTTCCTTGCCCGGGCCTCGTCGGGAATGCTGGTGACTGATCTCGGGATGTTGCGTTGCTGGATGGGCGGCTATCCGACCCTCCAACCCCTGGTCTCCGCCCTGGCCGCATACCCGACTCGAGCATTGCAGCTTCATCGGTTACATCAGGGCGCCTCTTCTCGTCCGCCCCAAAGTCCTGCTGGGCTGAGCGCATCCACTTCGGCTGGTTGGAATCGCCACCCTCTTGTTGAAACTCCTGAACTGCCTTTTGGACCTTCTTTTGCCCCTGCTTCCAGAAGCTGTTGGCCGTCTTGAGCAAACTTGTTCCAACTGCCGCAGCAGTTTTCGTAAAGTCGGCATCCGAGGACGCGGGAGACCGATTATCCCTGCTCCTAGCGCCCTCGGCTTCCCTCATCCACGATGGACCGCCATTTCTCAACTGGCTGGAAGCACGTTCAGGGCCGCGGCTAGCAGGCGGCTCACTTGGACCCTTGCCGCCCTTCGCCTTCTCCTTCGCCTGTCTATGCGCATCATCCAACAGCCAGTTGACCGCAGCCTGCACATTCAACCCAGCCCCGCTCTCCGTCAATCCCCTCCGCGCATTCTCCGGCGTGAAGCCATAATCCACCAGCTGTGCCACAGCCTTATCAAACGGATCATTCGACGGCGGCCTCTCCTCCGGCTCCGAATCATCCGATGAGTCCTCTATCGCCTTTCCCGGCTCCGGCGTCCTCGAAAATGACGGAGCTTGCGCTTTCGGCTGCGGAGCAGGCTGCTTTCTCCTGACCTCCTCCACCGGCCTCCCCAAATCCCCCAACAAATCATCCTCCTCCTCCTCCGGCGGCGGCGGCGCAGGCGCAGACGCGCTCGCCTTCCCCTTAAACTGACTCAACCCAAACGGATCATCGTCATCATCCCCGATCAAACTCCCACCCGTCCCTCCCGACACCGGCACATTCCACGCCTGCGGATTACTCAGATTCAACCCCGGCGCAGCAGCCGGCGAATCCTTCCTCGCCTCCGCGGGCGGCGGAAAGTGGCTCGCATTATCCACCTTCGTGCTCGCGCTAAACGCCGCGAACAAATCCGCATCGTCGTCCTTTTTGTTTCCATTGCCCAGCGTCGAACACGGCGCATGCTGCGGCGGAGGCGTGATCCCTAGCCCTGGACTCGCCGTCCTAGGCGTCCCGTGTCCGCTCCCCAGCGTATCGAGAAACCGGCCATCCCCGAAACTTGCCTGCGCCTGCTTGCGCCGTTCTTCTTCCTTCCTCCTCTTCTCGGCTTCCAGCAGGTCGGCGCGCTCGCGCAGGGTGAGGTTTGCAGTGGATTTGGCCGAGCCGAAGTTGACGAGGTTGCTAAAGCTGGAGGCGGTGTCCGCCGCAGGCTTGGGGTTTGAGGTTGAGGTTGCGGGGGGTTTGAAACCGCCTGGGGTGGATGTGCTACCCAGCGGCGTGTTGCGACCAGAGGCGAACGGGGACGGCGTTGGGCGCAGTGCAGGGAAGGAGCTCGCGGTTGTCGACGCAGAGGCGGGGGGCTGTTTGGAGGCGGGCGGGGCGTTCCATTGGAGGGAGGATAGGTCGTCCATCGTGAGAGAGTAAAAGTCGGAGTGGTGGAAGGGCCATCAAGGCATTGTTGGCTGTAGCTAGGTGTCGTGTGAGTTGGAGGGCGAGAGAGGTACGGGGTGCCAGGAGGTTGCGCCCCACTTGGCGGACGTCCTTGACGCCCAGCGGTTGCAGTGGCGTGCGGAGAAAGGGGCTTTGGGGTTAGGGTTAGGGGTCCAACCCCAATTTGACCCCAGGGTTCTTTGGGCAGCACACCTGATGGGCAAAAATGTCACAAGCATAATTGTAAGGGCAAAAATATATGCCTCGATCCACCCAGGGGTCGAACCTGGAACCTCCTGATAACCATTCAATCAATTTGATCAAACATCGTAGTCAGACGCTCTGCCATTGAGCCAGCGGACCTTGGTATTCATATCGCTCGCAGTTTCCCCTTACAACGATGCACCGTGCTTGATGCCTCATTTTCGAGGCCAACCCTAACCCCCACCAACCTCTACCCCTCCACGCCCTCACTCACCTTCGCGTCGCGTGTCCCGTCGTTGTAGCCCCTCACTGTCACTACACACTTGATAGCCATGGCCTCACAACAAAGGTCGACCTCGGCCGCGGGAACGAGGGAAAAGTCGTATTTCGAGCAGCAGCGCGAGGAGTTGATGGCTGAGATTGCCATGGTATGTCATCCTCGCCATCAAATTGTTGAACTTTTGTTTGACCGTGTGGTGCAGAGCTTTGAGCATGTACTTGCAAATATCAACAAATTAAACAGGTCACTGGAGGCTGTCATTACGGTATTTTCCTCCATTCCTCGCTTTGAAACGGATTTCAAGGGCAAGGGAGATCTAACAATTGTTGCAGGTGGGCAATGAATTTTCGTCAGTTGAGGCGCTTTGGTCACAATTTGAGAACGTCATGGGCAAGGAGCCGGAGGAGGTCGGAGACAAATCCGAGGCGGAGGGCGAGACGACTGTTGGAGACCAGACAGAGGAGCCATCTGAGGCATGAAGTGGGCACGATGTGCGATAAGACGAGGCCACTTAGTCCCTAACAGCTGAACTAACGATACCCCAGTGTAAATGTCACGCATGATTTCACCTTCCAAATCAGCGGTTGGAAAACTTGTTTTATGTCCCTGTTCATTGTCCCTAGCGGAGGCCAAATCATGTTACAAAAGAAAAGTCCGTATACTCGAGAAAAGGCTGATGATACAATGCGGCACCAGATCAGCAATCATGACCTTGCTTCCGTTCCCGAGCCCCTCGCCACTTGACGGGGAGTCGCCGAGCGGAGATCCAAGTAACCGCAACCATGCCTCCCCGGGGTATCATCCCTTCTAAACCCTAGATGAGTGTTCGCGAAGAGAGTATACTCCAACAAATACAACCGTATCGTAGCCAACCGCAACCCTTCCAACAGAGAGCCCAACAAGTCGCCTCACTTTGTCCGTACGCCCTCTCTCGGGTCATGATGAGAAAATCAGGTCGTATCAAAATCGTGTAGTAGTCAAGTCATTACCTTCCCATCTCGCAGACTTCATGCTCGCTTCGCTAAAAACGCCATCGAAAGATCGTGCATCGTTTTGTAGCCACCGTCCCCCTACACAACGATGCACTTTCTCTTCTTCTTCTTGACAACGGCGACGCCCGGAATGGGCGCGCCGCCGCTGCCAAAGGTAATGCCACTTCCTCCGCCGTTGGTCACCTGTTGCTCGAGCGTTTTCCTGTCGTTGGCGACGACAGTGAGGATGGCCCTCTCGAAGATCTCCTCGACACCCGTCATCTCTTTGCTGCTGCACTCCATGTATTGAGCGCCCATCTTTTGTGCGACGGCAAGTCCTTGCTCGGTGGTTACTGGCGTGAGACCCTGGGTTTTGAGCATGTCGATGCATGTCTTCTTGTATCGCAGATCCGACTTGAGGCCGATGAGGATGAGCGGGGTGTAGGGGCAGAAATGCAGGACTTCGGGGTACCACTGTCTACTGTTAGTCCGTGTCCAGTGTTCGCTAATGGTTCGGGCTGGCTGACCTTGTCCATGACATTTTCGAGGGAATTTGGGCAATCGATGGCGAAGCAGACGAAGATCAGGTCGGTCTCGGGATATGATAGCGGGCGCAACCGGTCGTATTCCTCCTGGCCGGCGGTATCCCACAGCGCGAGTTCCACCGTCTTACCGGTTGGAGGATGCGTGGGGTAGGTGATGTAGTTCTCGAAAACTGTCGGGACGTATTTCTGTGCGTATTGCATTAGCGGTCTGTCAGGACGCACAGCTGCGACAGTGTGGAGGAATGTGTGTGCGCACCTCTGGGAAATAGCCTTGACTGTAGCTAATGAGCAGGCAAGTCTTGCCGCAGCCGCCATCGCCGACGACGACAATCTTCTTGGAGTAGGCTGGGCCCTCGGTCATGGCTGTTGCGGATGATTCTCGGCCGGTCGAACTGCTCATCATGGTGCTCACTGTTCCATCGCTCGACCGTGCGCCGCGGGTGTCTCGTCGGTCAGTTGTCGGTCGTCGCTGTATGCCGTTATCATACTTCTCCTGTGCCGGCTGCGAATTGTAGTATGAGTTGCGATACTGGTAAGACGCCATGATTTTTGAGTTCATTTAGTGGGGAAATAGAGCCAGTGCGGACAAGGGCGCCAGGTACGCAAAGCTGCGTTGCGAATTTGAGTCCAGATCCCGCCCGATTGTGCGAATGGAGAATGTCTGACCTCGAGCAAGACTTGCGATGGCAGATGGCATGCAGCGAATTTTAGAAGACGGATGATTTACGTCCCAGCGACCTCGAGGCTGCTTGTCGTGCGGGACTGGGTAGGTACACCGGGAAGCAATGTAAACAGTCGGCAGGGCAACCGTCCTGAGATGGCACATGGCACGAGCGTCTAAATAAAGATGCCCCACCCGCTCCACAGTGACGCACTGTGTTGCGACACCAGCTGGGAGCGTCTACGGACAGCAGCAGCGCCTAAATCGGTGGAAACTCCCTCTGTATGATCCATTTGCACCCGAGTATTTGCTGCTGATATTTCTAACCAGTTCTTATAGCTTTTAGAGACCGAAAGACAAGGCATTGGCAGCAGATATTACTTAGAGCTTACATGCCTTTCAGCTGGCATTGTCTCGAAGAGCCCCATCAAGGTGGCTCGTGCGCCTGCCCTCTGGGCCATTAAAAGGATGATTTTTCGTCTGAACCTCCAACGCCTTCCTTCCCAAATCGCACCGGGGAAGTTCTTGCCGAAGCGATTCTACGCGAAAACACAAGAGACGCGTCTGTCTGAAATGACCTGAGCCAATCTTCTCTAGCCAGGAACCGAGCAGGATCTCTCCCAACCAACTTGTCCACGACCATTTCACTTCAACAAGCACAGATTCAAACTCTTTGTCGGCAAGGATGGCAGCAAACAGCGATGCTGGCAACAGCAAGTACGTCACTCTGGTATCCAGCGATAACTACGAGTTCGTCGTCCTCCGCGAAGCCACCTTGATTAGCCCCGCTATCAAGAGCATGCTGCTCAGCCCGATGCGAGAGGGGCGAACGGGCCGCTGCGTCTTCCCCGAAATCCAGTATGTTGACCTTTCTTCACATCTCCTTTGTCTTCATCCTGGCCGGACACCACCAGAATGATGATCACGATACCCCTCAATGCGGGGTTCCGACAGACCATGTTTCCACACGGAAACAGAGGACTGGCTGAGTGTCGTCTACACTTGATCTGACATGCACGTCATCGCTCAACGTTGTGGAGTTTCGGCGGTGGGAGCCTCTCGCTAACGGACCTGATCAGTGGTCTCGTGTTGGAGAAGATCGTCGAGTATTTTCACTACTGGTACAAGAACCGGGACAAGACCGTGGTTCCAGACATGGACATCCCAGTTGATCTGTGTCTGGAGCTGCTGGTGGCCGCCGATTTCTTGGGGCTGGACAGTAAGCCGTTGTCTTAACCGTCCAGTGGAGCGTCTCCTAACTCATGCGCAGAGCAAACGTGAACAAGACCTTGAACAATTCCGAGGTCCGGCGTTAGTGGGATTTGATCTTTTCAGCGACGGCGTTTTGGCGATCTATGAGGCAAACGGCACATCTGGACGGGATGTTTTCAAAAGAGCAGCTTGATGCAAGTTCATCATACCTCTTGGCGGTATCAACTTCAGGGTTTCGAGACCCATGACCTCCAACATCTCCAGTCTAACTGATACTGGTGATTTCAATGCCATATCACAAGTCGGGCACTTTGCAGCCCTACAACCCATCTTAGCATATACGTTCAACCCCCTTCTTCTATGGGCACAACGTCTAAAATAGGTGGAAGAACAAAACTCCCCAACGATCTGCGTGCCTCACTGCTGTCAGTGGGGGCTTCGCTTTATATGACGGGAAACACTTCGTAAAATAAAAGCGTTTACGTGGTGGAAGAAACGACTTTGCTGGTATTCGCGACCCCTCGATCTGAAGTAGCTCATGCCTCTTTACGTTCTTGACGGGCCTTGATGTTTTGGGCAGAAGGGGTCGATATATCTCTTCAATGCCTATTTGCATTCAAAAAGGGTTCTTTCCTTTCGTCATAGCCGTCAACCAGGACTACGGATTAGCAACTTCCGCAAGTTCCCGTCGTTTTTTCTACCGTATGAGGCGTTCCAGGTTGTTCCAATTTTGTGCATCTCACTGCTTCGCCTTGCTTGGTGACGTTGAATGACTACATTGTTCCACCTATTCCCCATCGGCACCCCACATGTCTCAGCCCTTCCAGGTTTCAGATCTTTCGGGAGCTTCGGGAACTCCCCTGGAACGTAAATAAACTCGATCAACACAACTCCAAGGTATCCTCGCAGCGGCTAGATACGACCCACAACCTCTCACCACCCTCTTCCCCTCCCTCTACCACCAACTCTACCGCCACCACCTCTACCACCCCATCCCCTACCACCCCTGCCACCCATCCCTCTCCCTCTTCCACCCCCTCGCCGCCCTCCACCCCCAAAGTCCGGGAAATCCGGCGGCGGGGTCCCCCGTTCCTTTCTCTCCCTCCTGTCCTCCTCACTGTGATCCCACAGATTCGGTACTCCCACCAACTCACAGTACTTCACCGTCTGTGGATTCGTATACTCCTCCGGCTGCTCCTCACTCTCCGGATCTAATCCCTCCAACCACGGGACGTGCTTGTGCGCAGTGAGCTCAAAGTTCTCGGGGACGTCGAGCTTCCCTGCCTTGACGATGTGCTCATCCACCCACGCCTCTTCAGCTTGGATGAGAGGGAGGTAGTGGGACTCGCCTAGATCGGGTGGGTTCTGGGCGTTGCGGTTGCCGATGGCGAGGGAGGAGGCGAAGACGCGCGTGATGGCGAGCCATTCGGGGTCGTATTGGAGTTTGAAAGGGGGAGTGTCGATGGTGGTGGGGATTTCGCAGAGCTGGA